GAGAGAGAGAGAGAGAGAGAGAGAGAGAGAGAGAGAGAGAGAGAGAGAAAGAGAAAGAGGGAATGAATAGTTTATTAACCTGAAGCTTACATAGGGCCGTAGGGTCCTCTCTTACCGAAGTCAGGAAACTTAATGTTAACATTTAATTTAATTCAGCTCGAACAGCTAATTATATCAATTTAACGTAATTTCTCAAATATAATTTTCATTTTTTACAAGGTGTCTTTTTAATTAAGGCTTCAATAGAACAATGATAATTTAACGTACACTAGTAATAAATAAATAATAAAAAGTATTAATAAATAGGAAATTTAGTAATAAATAATCTTAACACAATAGTACATAATTCAGTCTAGTGTAGTATAACATATATATATATATATATATAACATGAGGATATTGTATTTACAATTTTATCTATTATTATATTTTGTCAGGAACTCTTCTTTTAATATACATTTCGCTTTTACATATGGTAGAAGTAGTAAATTGTACAGGTTGTTGTTATTATAATTATTGATTGCTTTTACTAGAAAAGATGCATTGTAAATAGCAGTTCTTATTTGAGGCAATATAAATTTACGTTTATCATATCTAGTATTTTTGTCATGGATAGGCTTATAGAATTTAAAGTTATTTATCAGATATGACGGTTTTTGTCTTTGGGGTAAGTCTCAAGCCAATTCTGTGTAGGTACGAATCAGAAATGCCATGCCCCATTCTCAAACGTTCAATAGCGGAAAATAACGTTTTTTCCTTTCCTTCGCAGACAAACCACGGCTCACTTACCCAATTTTGGAAATAACAATCGGTAATAATTACCCGTTTCCCCAGAGTTGTAAATGCTTTGTCATTTCTCGATTAGTTTCTCCTTATTATTGCTTGGAAAATCATCCCTTGTCAGTGTAGTATCGAAGTTAGCGCCAACTCGTGCAGCTGTCTTAGCCGGCATGTCCACTTCCTGATTAGACCTAACTCCATCGTGTCCTTGGATCTAGTAGAGTGTTATTTCCTTACCCCCTTGAGTGAGACTATATATTTTTTTTGCACAATATCTATCAGGATATGCTCATAATTACAAGTTCCTGTGTTAAAGTTCTGAACAAGCCCAAGTTATTTCTAGTCAAAAATTTAGCCAAATCTTGGGCACTATAGGGGCAGATTTGGAAAAATTAAATAAACTCGTTATTAACTTGAATAGGCAAAATCCTAAAGAAATATTCCACTTATTTCTGAAATATCGTCCATTACTTTTATTTTTACCAAAATGCCGGAAGAATTTAAATTGGCCACGGCCGAACCACAATATCCGACTGCTGAATATGGGTCAAATAAGGAATAATCAAACTGTTCCTGATTTAAAATTTCTACAATGGCCATGCTCGGTCGTTATTACCGAAAAAAGGAAGTCTTGAACATATGTACTTTCAGTTGATATCATCTCAGAAACCTGGCTGGGTCCCGGCAGCTGTATGTTTTAAGGTTATAACTTTGTCCCACTTGATAGTGATGATTCCTACGCAGGTATAAGCTTAGTAATTATACGAAACATTCGACACATCCCTCTTACAATCAAGAGCATTAAGAGCATATTACATGATATAGCAGATCTAACTAATGACGAAAGGAGTTCTTACACTTGTTTCATTGTATGATGTTCCAAGTAATAAGCTCTCCGTCATAATAAATGGGACGGATTTATGAAGCTATTTCATCCCCCTTTTATCATCGCCGATGACTGTAATGCACACCATTTGGCATTTGGGTCTGAGTGGACTGATGTTAAGGGCAGAGTACTTATGGAATCTTTGGATATGAATAATATTGTACGGATCCCCAACCAATGTATGTACCCCTTTGAAAACAAGGAAGTCAAGAGTAGATACAATACTGGTGTCGACAGATATTGCCTCTATGTTTAACTGGACCATTATTCAGGATCCGATGGGATCAGACCAACTGCTCATTCCTTTAGCCTCAGGTGAACTTAATATATTAATAATTAAAAAACTATGTAGAAAATGGAATTTAGATAAGGCAAACTGGGGAAAATATCGTAACTATTTGACCTAAGAAAACGAAAATTCAAATGTGCCACAAAACCGTGTGTGAGCAAAGCATTCCAAAAATAAAAAAAATACTACAATTCAATAAATAGAGGAAAAAGTTAGTGGACGCCAGAGTGAGCTTTGTAAGATAGGAAGAAGGCTTTTAAAAATTACAAAACATCCCTAATATGGAAATACGAAATATAAAGAAATTAACAGAATAGCACAATCATTTAGGAAGCCAAAAAGGAATCGCATACCTTTTGTACCTCACTAAATAAATCCACCCCCCCTCAAATCTATCTAACAAATCTAAAAATAATTAAGGGGGACCGCGGCAGCCGAGTGGTTAGCATGAGAGACTCTCACTCCGCGGTCGTGGGTTCGATTCCCACCGTCGCCTCTGGCCCTTATTTCACAATAACCCCCCCAAATTTGAACACATATACGAATTGTCACATGGCTAATATGCATAGTTCATAACGCCAAAACTTTACCAGTCCGGTCCTAGTATCCAATTGAATAAAACTATAAGTTTGGACTGTGAGCTAGAATGCCCTTTATCGGCCTCGTTCACTTTAAAAGAGTTAGAAAATGTCTTAAAAAGTACAAACCGTACGGCTCTTGGTTGGGACCGGATCCGGATACACTATAAGACGTTGTCTTCACTTCCAAACGCTTCAAAAATAACATTAACACAATTACAATTAATTAAGGTAAAACAAGGTCACGATAGCTCAAGTGGCAGAGCAGCGGCGTATCTAGCCGAAGATCGTGGGTTCGAATCCCGCTCGTGCCATTGATTTTTTTATCTCAACTAAAAACCTTAATTAATTGTAATTATCAGAAAAATTATTATTGGCTTTCTTTATCAGATTTCCCATTTTCATGGAATATATATTTCCAGCGATATTTTTCATGCTTTCGACAAACACGTGAAAGGGCCCGAATCTGTATGTTTGTATATGTTTTTGTTTAGAGATAACGAACTCAAGTCTTATCGCTTTAGAAAGAGAGCCCGATTCCCCTGATCTTTATCTTTAATTTCAGTAATCATAATCTTGTTAAATTGAACAGAGATGTTCTCCCCCGCATTTTTAATTGTAATCTTTTTAATTGATTCATTGGGGTGATCCGAGTCGCTGATATTATCAGGAGGGATATCATCCACATTGAATGACATTCTTTCCAGAAATTTGCCATAATATATAAATAAATATAGCTAACAAACTGACTAGGAAAAAATGACAATATAATTAAATCAGATCAATAAATAAACGAATTAATAAATCACTGTCAAGCCTTCCTCGTCGACGTCTAAACAACAACTTTACAAGAATTTCATGGTCATTTGTATAACATTTTCCTCTTTTCTCCTGGCTTTAAGGTGAATAATGTATTTACCAGTTTTACTCTGTACAATTTGAGGAAAATTAACGAAGTGGCGAAGAGGGCTCGGGGCGCTTTGTATTACGATAAAATCGTGTTTAAATAAAATTCTGCCATTCTCGCGGATAGAGGAAGTAGAACAGTAAGTACCGGAGACTTGCAATCTTCGCGAAGAGGGGCAGCTTAAATAGAAGAAAGAGGTTTATTTTCTAAAAGAGGCTAATTCAATGTTTCATCATTTCAACAAGTAAAAAGATTTTGGCACTTCGATAAAAGCTTGAGTGTTCGAATCGCTACTATCGGCCACCCTTTATGCCTGGAGGGCTCTTGATACACCCAATATTTCATCAGGTAAGTCTGAAACTGATGTTTAATATGTTATTTCGGCCATTCTGATAAAAGATTTTACGGTACAATGGGTATAATAAAACAAACCAAAAATCCTACTTTCAGGACAAAAATACATTTAAAACGACTACGGATGAGTTGTGCACGATAGACCCGTTATGTTTGGATCCAGTTTCCAACTTTATTCCATACCTTTATTATTAACAACCACTCTATTTCCTTCTGTCTTAACGTTAATTAGAATATTAACTGCCGTTAGTTTTCCACCCTCCATCAGTTCCGTCCCGCCAGCTACCTTTTCTCCATCAGTACGAGTAAATCCCTAATGTGATTACGGTTGTGTTATCTTTCACGGATTTTGAAGATAAACGTAACGATCTAACGACTCGTTTTGTTAGTTTTATCTTTGGTTTCCTAAGGAGGTGCCGGAGTGTACACCAACTTCAAGTGATTATATCCTTCCTATCTCAGGTTTCCTTGGCTCTATCCTATATCAGATATCTTAACATTCCTTTGTTTACTATGATCTACTCACTTTCAGATCCTCAGTAAACTCGCGTCAAACATGCTTCCACTCTTCTCTCCTCAAGTAGTCGTCTCTACCTCATCCGTGCTTCCAACATATGGAATCCCCTTCATCGCTCTATCCGCATAGACCCATACTGTCTTATTTTTAACTCTCGTCCCTTTGATTA